TCCTGCTGCCTAAGTTTGGAGCAAAACTCAATGGGGCAAAAGAATGCATATCATTTACAGCATTTGTAACACAATGGCAATGGATTGGTTGGTTTGTTTTCTATATAAGCATTTAGTAGAATAATTTGTTTGGAAAAAAAAACGCACAATTTTCTTCTGCTGTACTTTGTACTTCAGCTTTACAGATTGTTTTTCTGAACTTGCTTACAGAGGCTTGTTTTTTTTGCCTTTTTTTTTTTTGGTTAACCCTGGACTTCTTTCCAAATATCTACAGGCAAACAAAAAAAGAAAAAAAAAAGTTTTAAACTGCTTAGGATTCCTAGTTTATAAGAAATTGAAGAAGACACCCAGTATTGGGTGACGGCCCAATTAAAATCCTGACCTAAGAATTAAAGATACAGCAATGACTCCAAACCTAATGAAGGAGAAAGGCAGTTAATCAGTTTGCAAACACTTTACCTACCTCTGCATCAGTCAAATGAATTTCCCCCCAGCGATCTTATGGAGTTTTTACCACTGCTCTTTAAAACATTTATCTCTCCTGCAGTCGTATGGCAAGTTCCCCAAGAGGGAAACCTGTCCATACCCACAGCCAACAAGCTGAGGCAGAAGGAATGTTTGATTTTGTTCTCCTTCATTTCTAGTAATCTTTAGGGATCAGTTACAGCAATCATTTCCAGACAGGCACAGTTCTGAAGCAGGTCCCCAGCTCTTCTTTCCAGGTAGTTCTGTTTCTAAGGGCATAACCCCATGTTATCCCATTCTTTAGCCTTCCTCGAGCTAGCTCTTATTGCAGGGTGCTGAAACCAGGCAGGAAGCAGGTTATGTTTATGCTGGCCCGGGGGGAATATCTCTGCAAAATATTATTTCTGATGCTGGAGCCATCAGCCTGCCCGCTGCAGCTTAAGGTCTTGACAAAGAAAGCAACTCTGAGCTAAAGACCCTCAGGACAACAACAACAAAGAACAGTTTAGAGTGAAAATACTGAGGGTATCCACAGTGCCCCATTCTGATTTGCTTCTTCACCCTCCTTCCCCAAAGAAAGCAGTTCTGCAGGAACCTGTGCAGCCAGCACTGGACACCAGGCCTGTTATCCTGCTCTCCGGAGGGAAAACACTTTTATTTTCCTTGATAGAGTTGAGAAGGCCCAGTCACAGATTTAGCTGTAGCAGAGCTGGAATGAGCAGGAGTGCAGACGCTGGTTTTAGCTGCCTTCCCCTCCTTCCTGCAATGGCAGCAATCCTGATGTGTACAACTTAAAAACAAGAGACATTACCACAAAAAAACACATCACCCGAGCTGAAGTTACTAGGTCCTTGCACACAGTAAGGTCATTTCAGCAACTGGTAGCCATTCACAGGGGGAAGGCTGCAGGTACCACTAACCTGTGTCGATTTTTGTTCTTCCTTTTTTTGTGGCTGCTGTGGTGGCTGCCAGAGGAAGTGGAGGAAGCAGCTTTCTGGGGTTTCACCCCCTGCACAGACCCGTCCAGCTCTTCAGCATCCTCCTGGTTGGGCTCATTCTCTTGGTTGTGGAAGTCTGGGGAGGTGTCACTTTCCGTCCCACTCCCCGGCTCCCCTGCACACGACAAACACAGCGGTCACCTCCCCGATCACATCCCAGCCTGGCGAATCCCTGAACCCCCCTGAGCAAACGGAGCAGCCTCCAGCAAAGGAGCACGGGGCACCCAGGGGCAAGGAAGACAGCCTGAAAATTATACCCAAAGTGGAGCAGGCTGCTCCTCACTGACTGAGGGAAACTAGACTGGTGTCTGATTTGATTTCAATTACAAGATTTTTTTTTTT